GCAACTGCGTGGGTGCGGATTTCTTTGCGCAGATGCGGCCTTGGAGTTTTAAGTGAATTTCGCAGGTGCGCGTGCGGGTCCGCAGGTATGACCATTTAACCGCAGGTGCAGTTTTGTTGGGTCAGAAGATATAAATTTTACCCTTCGCGATTTTTAGTGGGTTTTCACTATATTTCATTCAGGAGAAAGCTTTGGAGAGCTAATTGAAGGGGGGAATTTAAGAATGTTTCTTAAAGGTAAGGTCCTTGGTCCCTAAACTCGTTGTTATGATGATTTTTAAGGTTGTAAGCTTGAAATATATGGGAAAATCAATAGCAAATTGGAAGTTAGGGCTTGGAAATTGGAGACCTAAATCTAGGGATTTGAGGGGTCATTTGTGGTCGGATTTTGATGTATTTAATATGTATGAAATCGTAAGAGTGTAAGGATTCTAGTTTTGTTATTTTTTATCAAAATTCGAGACGTGGGCTCGGAGGTCGGGTTTGGCAAATTTTGAGATTTTTGATGTAAATTGGTTATTTCCGAGTGAGATTTATTCCCTTAGCATATTTTGATAGTATAAATCTATATTTGGTTAGATTTGAAGCATTTAGAGATCGAGTTGAGAGGCAAAGGAATCATGGGGCCGTGCACCGTTAGGGATTGTGACTTAGTCCGTCCCGTATGACTATTTAACTGTGTATTTGACTGAAAACTATTTGATATCAATGTGTTTTGGAAAGTATTATCATGTTTTGGGCTGAAAGACATATTTGGGCCTCGTGCCAACTATTTTGGACTGTTAGGAGATTTTTTACTACTATTCCTCATTATTTTGACTTCATATTTGTATTAAGTCTTGTTGTATTCTACTGTTTTCATAATTCAGCAAAATTTACTCCGTTCTGCTATTTTAAATGATATGTTGGGCTGAGCATCATGTTTTACTGTTGCCTGAGTAGCTTGAGAGATTTCTGACTAAGTAAGGCCGAGGGACTGTGCTGTGGGGTTATTATGGGATCGGGATGCACGCCACAACGATATTGTACTGATTCATGATTTTGAGGCCTAGGGCCTGATTTGGTACGCCACGAGGCAGCTTGTTATAAGGATGAGTGCCTGTTTGATTATGCCACGAGATGGCTTGTTATGGCGCTTGGATCGTAAGGGGCCTCTCCCGGAGTCTGTACACCCCTAGTGAGCGTGGGTACCCAGTGCGAGTAACATGATGTAGCCCGATGGGCTGTTGTTGTTGTTGTTGTTTCGTATTGTTACCTGAGGGGATGTTCTTGATCTATGTTATGCCCGAGGGGCTGGTTACGAGTGACTGTGAGGTAGCCCGAGGGGCTGGTTCTATTGATATTATGTCCAAGGGGCGGTTTATGGTGCATGTTTTGCCCGAGGAGTTGTTTACATTTATATCATGTTTACTCACTGCTTTATCACTCGTTTGAAACTATTAAAAATTATTTTAAAAGGCTTTACTGAAACTGAGCATGATTTACGAAGTAAATAATTTCTGTATTGTGTTGGAAATATCCTATATTTGTTATAGCGTTTTGACGTCGTTTACGTATTTTCTTACTGCTCAGCTTTCATTTACTTTTATTACTTACTGAGTTGGCATACTCACATTACTCCCTGCACCTTGTGTGCAGATTTAGGTATTTCTGAACTCGGTAGCGGGTGTTTATTGCTCAGTGGCAGAGTCATTGGGGTTAGCAATGTATCTGCCCGACGTTCGCAGCACTACTTTTCTCCCTCTTGTCTTTCTTGGACTGTATTTAGTACATCTTTAGTCTCTTCATTGTATTCAGACCTTAGTAGATGTTCATGACTTGTGACACCCCGATGTCGGGCTTGTGTATTTATTCTGCACTATTTATTTAGACTTACATTTTGAGATATCTGATTAATTAAAGGCTTAAAAATGATTGTTATTGATTAAATGGTTAATTCGGGAGTTGTGTCGGCTGACCTAGTTTCACGATAGGCGCCATCACGACCGGGTCGGTTTTAGGGTCATGACAAGTTGTGATTTATGATATGAGATTACGAGAAGTGGGACTGTTGATACTGTATATTATAAATAATTTGATTGGTTGAGTTGGCATCGTTTTCCTACTTGAGCACATTTATACTACACCCGTACCCCACTATATTGCCGCTTAATTCTTTTGTTATTTCTCATTGCCGTTCGTGTCCCCCTTGTCTTTACTGCCATTTCTAATCTGAATTATTCCTGCTATTGGTGTTACATTGATATTCCTTCCTTGTTAGCTTTATGTCATATTTTACACAGGTTTATATGTTCAGTAGGTGTCTTGACCTGGCCTCGTCACTACTCTACCAAGGTTAGGCTTGATACTTACTGGGTACCACTGTGGTGTACTCATGCTACACTTCAGCATATTTTTGTGCAGAACCAGATACCTCGGATCGAGTTGGTTTTGAGATTTATGCTTGTGCGGCTTGAGAATTCAATGTACACCTGTTGGACGTTCGCAGGCTCCGAAGTCACCTTCTATTTTAATTTTTTTTCATTATTTCCTATTAATCTAGAACAGTGATGTATTCATAATGTATAATTACTCTTAGAAAGGGCTTATGACTTGTACTACCGGTTTTGGGATATTGTATCATGTTGAGACTATTGGTTTATTTAGAAATTTTCTGGTTCATGTTCAATAGATGTTTAGTAGAATCTATTATCATTTCAGTATGTGTTAGGTTTACTTACTTTAGGAGACTATGTTCTATCACGACTCCTTCGGAGGAATTTTGGGCCGTGATAGCCTTAGGCCCCCAAATTTGGGGGGCCTCAATTTTAAGAGATAATAGGTTTATAGTAATTAAATTAAGTAAAATTTAGCACTTCTAGTATAAAAATAGACTTTTTCATATAAAAGGAAATAAATCTTTTTAGATATGTAAATAAAGTAATTTTTTGACTTACTTAAAAATGGGTAGTATGAATAATTTTTTTAATGTGTGAATCAGAAGTAATTTGACAAGAAAAATAGTACAAGTAGGAGATACTACATACATTATACTCTTGATTCTTTTTCAAATATTTGTATTGCTTACAAAATAATGTTAACAGTTCCTATTACAGTTGCTTCAGCGGAAACAAAATTTTCAAAATTAAATTAATAAAATTTTGCTATAATAAAAAATATTTCAAGAAAAATTAAATGAGTTGGCTATATTATCAATTAAAAAGGAATTGTAGGAAGAAATCGATTTTAAAAAAAAATCTCAATAATTACATCTCAATAAGCTAAAAGAATAGATTCCAAATAAACATATCTATTATAACCTTCTAAAAAAATTTAAACATCACATTAAATTTAGGCTTTAGAATACATATATGCTTGAGCTGCCCATGACGGGCTACAATCACATGAAAACAAAAAATATTAGTTCAGAATATTTAGAGTATGTATAAGACATGAACCTCATTCCAATGATAGATAAGGAATTAGGTAAACATTGTCACCACCAGCCCTTACCCAAACCCCCCATATGTAGATCTAACAGGTTTGATTAAGGCAGGGGTGGCTATTGGTCCTACCGTGTTCATCATGCATCCTACAATACTGTTATGTGATAATATCTATCATGTCTTTCTTGTTCAAACCAAACGAGCCTAACACATGATTAAATAACAAAATTAAAGTTAGACCATCAGCTGAAAGTATGATTCTCAAAGTTATCCAACTTGACTTTTCAACTTCAATTATGATCACGATCAAAGAGCTTAACAAAATATAGTTGTCCTCTTTTTTCTTTTTACATTGTTTACTTTTCCTAGGGTGGACAATGGTCAATGGATAACAGAAGAGGGAAAAATGGAAGAAATGAATTAATTTACTATTATTAAAAGCTTTTTAGAAGCGGATTTATATTTAAGTTATATATACTGATCGCTTAAAGATCTTTTACGCTGTCATAGTAGTTTAGACTGTGATATCAATTGACTCTTTATTATATATATTTACCGGTAAGAACCTTCTAAACGACTTAATTGTGTAATTATCTTTTAAAATGTTAGTGTATAGAAGTTAGAACTAGGTGCTTCGAAGGAAAAGCTGCCTACTGATAACCTTATGAAACATTAATATCTTAGCTTGTTGGCTTTCTGTATAAATTCAGAAAAATTACGTGAAGTGGATGCTACGATAGATTTTATTTGCTCGTTACAAAGTTGTACAAGGTTCGCAACAGAAAAACATAGCCTATTCTAGTGTCCATCACCAACTTAATAGCACTTGGTTTTGCTATTTTAACCTTTCAAAACCTGTGAAGGCAAAGTTTCTAGTTGAAACTGGGAAAATACAAAATGAACGTCATGTTTCCAAAAGTATATATCCTGTTGCAGATATGGTTATCACTGCTGCCAATCTAAAGAGCTAAAAGTCATTTTTCGTACGTCGTTTCATTCAAAAAGTTTCAACCAAGAAAAGAAAAAGAAAAGAGCAATTAAGTGGGTGTTTGGACATAAGGATTGTAAAATTCCGGAAAAAATTGAATTTTTCTTTTTTAAGTGAAAATAATAATTGATAATTAGAGTTGTGTTTGAATATAAATATAATTTTGGGTTGTTTTTGAATTTTTTTGAGTGATCTGAGTGAAAATTTTGAAAAACAGTTTTTTGGAGTTTTTTAAATTTTTGAAACATTTTAAAATTCATATTCAAATGAAAGTTGAAAATTTTATGGCCAAATACTGATTTCGAAAAAAGTGAAATTTTCATGACCAAACAGGCTCTTAAAACTTTTACATCATTGTTTTACCAATTGTATTCCAAGGCTGTACACTGCTACTACTACTACAAAGAAAACATCATCCAGTTTAGCAACATGAAACATAAACCTTCATTACCTACTACCACATAATGTAAAATCTACCATATAAGTTAGGAGTAAAGTGCTATAAGATGCCACGCCCTACTGTTCATATTGTATATATCATACCCTTATTGCTTCAAAAGTGTTTGAATCATGATTCAATGAGTCTTATTCAAAAGAAACACATACTGATAATCTTCTTTATAATTAAAGAAAATAAGTAGAAACCTACATTTTACTCCACATGAGAAAGACAGCGAACACAGATACACCAACAAAAAGTAAGGCCTAACCAACACATTGCTATTTTTCTCATTAATTAATGCTCTCCTTCAGCTTCTGTTGTTGCAGAAGACATGTAACTCATAGCTGGAGAAGACTCATCAGTTGCTTGAAACTTATTCTTGCAAGCATGACAAGTGATTTCCAATATTGAAGAGCTTATTCTCTTTGTAGCTTCCTCTTTCAAATTTTGAGCTCTTTCAATTTCAGCTTGTGCTTGTTGTCTGATTCTCTTTGCATTAGCAAATTCCAACTCAGCAAATTCAATTTGTCTCTTTGCTTGTCTTCTTGCTTCCTCAGCATAAGCCTTTTCAGCCATAGCCAAATTCAGTTCCTTATGATCTTTTGACACCACTCTAGTAGATGATCCAATTGACAATTTCAAATGGGGTGCTTGATTTTCATGATCATTAGTTCTTGATGGACATGCAATTGAAGATGGTAATAGGCGAAGTTCCAAATTATGCTGCTGATCATTATTATTACTACTAGGGAATTCATTGTGCTGATCAGAATTATTAGGCAAAGGCATTATTGTTAATCTTGGTAAATTAGGGGCAATGCTGCTGAAATTTGTATCACTTGAAGGGCTAGTGCTTGAAGCAGTTCTTGATGAACAACCAGCTTGCAATGGTTGCAAATCTGGCCTAGTACTACTACTTCTCCTTACAGTACAACTATCTTGGTGCTCAATAAAACTCTCCACCCTGCAAGGTCAAAATGACAAGGATTAATATTAGTGTCAAGACTTGTTTTTCTCGTATTTTGTTATGATGCATTTTAATTAATATGAGTAATAGTATAACAATCTTTTTGACCAAAAAAGATAAGGATTAATTAATTAGCTTGTGAGCCAGAAGAAACCATCAATAATTTGGTATCTTGATCTTTGCACAAAGCTAGCTAGCTAGCTAGGGGTAGTAATTGGCCAAGAAAAAAACAAAAGAGGCTACTTCTTGTAGGGTTACCTAAGAAAAGCAAAAACAAAGCAGAAGGGACAAAATCTTGAACAAAAAAAACTATTTGCAGACATGATTTTGTTAGTCATACTAATATTAAATTGAATAAGAATGTGAAAGTCAATTAATACGTAGCACAAAGAAAGATGCACATTGTGTTCTTAACAATGAATATTTAATTTTCTTTTTAAAAAAATTGAAGTATTTATGGGAAATAGTGAACCCCTGACCTATGTATCACTTCCATTGGCTGCTAGTTATTATTAGGTATAGTCATATGCTTTTGGAAATTGTAAATTAAGGAATGTATGTTTGTCTACCTCTTCTCCACAAGGATTATGACAAAACTCAAGAGAAGTTCAAGACTTTGTAAAACATATGGTTAAAGATTTCCATGAAAGCCACAAGGTCCATAATACGAATGCTATGTTATTGAGTGTATTTCGGATTCTTCAACATAGGTTAAAAGAATCTTGGAACTCTGAAATATGACAGCCTAAGGAATATCTAGAACTTTGCTCTAGTTTCATGAAACTCACAAGATGTTCAGAAATGCAATAAATATAATAAATTAAAAAACAGAATGTTGGTATTATACCTGGAAAATACGCGGCCACAGTCACAAGAATGGCCTCTAGTACCACAAGTCTTGAGATGTGCTTTGTAATCAGACTGAACAGCATAAGCTTTAGAACATTTCTCACAAATCCATTGTTTATTATTACTGTGTTTTCTCCTGAAATGTTTCTTTATACCAACAAGATCTCCAAGAGCATGACATGGATCATGGTGCAAACAAGTAGGCTCAGGACATACAAATACTCTTTTCTTAACTTGTGGTGTCTCTCTCTTCACTAACTTCCATGGCACCTTGTGCCTTCTCCTGTGCATCTGAAGGTTTTGGTCCCTTTGAAAACCTTGGTTACAGATCTCACATATATACCTATCTGATTCCAACAGAGTCTTGGGTGAAAGCGAAACCACTTCTGCATCTGGATCTATGATAATTAACATAGTGTCAGTCGCCGAGCCAGAAATTGATATGAGGGTTTGAAAAAATACAATGTCACACCTACCCTTTTTCACTACACAAGAAATTTTTCTTATGTTAAGGGGATTAACAGTTTATACATAAACAAGAAAACTCAGTTTACCTTATTTGCACGGTATAATTTTTCGACCAAACCACTAGACTTGCTTATTACAACAAGCAACAACAACAAGTGTAATCCCACATAATGGAATTTGGAGAGAATAGTGTTTACACAGACCTTACCTTGAAGGTAAAAAGACTGTTTCCAATAGAGACTGTTACCCTTCGAGAAATAAAAAGAAAGAAGGAAAAGAAGAGAAGTTGAAGGATTATTTACCTGGAGTACCAGCAGGTCGTCTTTTCCTTCTATTAGAAACCCCAGAATTTTCTGCAGAATTATTGAAAGCTTCAGAAGAGGAAGAAGGACCAACGGGTGAAGAACAAGAATTGTCCAACATGGTATAAAATCTTGTAGATCAAAGAGAAAAGATGAATACTGAGACACTGGTACCCTACTTGTACAGCTTTCTCAAATGGGGGGATTGGGGTGGGGCTTTTTAGGAAGGTGGGTAGCACTCTCTTTTTGAGAAAAATCAGCTTTCTTTTTTTAGCTTTTAAGCTTTTTCTATCAACTTTCTTGCTAGGTTTTCATTGATTCTCCACCTTGAGCAGGTAAGGTTGAAGCTAGTCTTCCTCATCTTTTCTTCTTTTACTACTACTATATATATATGACTTGTAGTTTCTATATAAAAGGTTGAAACAGTGATGAAAGAGAGAACGTGAAGTGGGGTTTTAGCCTTAAGCTGAACCAATTACTTTTGCTTCTTTACTTGAAACTTTGAGCCCACAATCAGACAGAGAATCAAAAGAACATCCCTCACATAAGAAAACAAAGAGTCATTATTCATGACACAATGTAATTTGCATGAATAAATATGCTTGGCTTTGGCCCTTTAGAGTAACTAGTATGAGTTACACGTGATCTCACGTCTTCCTCACGTGGCCTTTATCCCTCTACTTTTCTAAAAAGTGAAAGGTGAAACTTGAAAGTGGTTTAAAAAAGAATTTCCATTGACCAAAGTTTTCCCCTTTTAATGACCCCTCAAAGTAAACATGATTAAGCTCTGTAGCAGCTTTTGTGAAAGATGGTGGAAAATGCACGATTAGCAGCTTTGTTAACAAAGTATCAATTGTATACCTGCATCTTTAAAAGGAATTGCTCCTTTATGGAGTTTCAATTTGGGATTTTTTTTTAGTAAAACGGGAATACTTATATTAATATTATCATCCCTAGTTATTTTTAAGGTATTTTGATTGCCAATTTAGTACAAATGCTATTCGAATAAGTTCAAAAATGTGCTCCTTCTCTATCCGCCAATAGTCTGGACGCGAGTAATGAACGTGAAACTACAAATAAGCTAACTTATTTGTGTAGGACTGCTAGGAAGCTTCCTTAGCCAAAAGACGAGCCACTTCATTTTTTTGCCTAATATTATGCCTAACCACCAGCTTCTCCACCTGGAGTTTTAACAACCTGTAATCACAAATATGAATGTCATATGTAAGATATCCCAGCTTCCCCACCTGGAGTTTTAACAACCTGTAATCACAAATGAATGTCATATGTAAGATATCCCAGCTTCCCCACCTGGAGTTTTAACAACCTGTAATCACAAATGAATGTCATATGTAAGATATCCTTATTTTAATAGTTTTATTACCTCTATTGCATCAGTTTCAATATCATTTGGTATGTCGCACATATGATGGTAACACGTTGAAATGGTGGAGGAACAACTCTAAGACAGTATCCCATTCTTTCCACGATGGATTTAGACGTGCTAAATATTTCAATTTTAATCGTAGCGTCAGAAAGCATATTTAGTTAGGGAAAGTAATAGCTCGAATACAACTGACATTCATTGAGTAGTAACACCATGAATGTGCTAATATGTTTGGACTACAGCGAAATGAAAAAACCAATGAAGGAGCAGTTAATCGTAACTAATTTGAAGAGATCATGTCACTTGAAGATGCATATGAACAATTCACTCTAACTAATGAAGAAAAACAATAATCCCGATATAATTTTTGATAATATTAATATAGTATATAAAGTCCATTTGGAGGCCTAACGAATATTAAAATCCTTATTTTCCTTGTTAAATTATCAACTCCAATCATATTATAGCTCCAGCCGCGCTCCTTCATCATAGCTGAAGTATCAAATTTTTGTGAAGAAAAAGAGGTCTTTGGATAGAATACTCGCCCAAGCCATTTCTGGAGCAATGAGTTCTGTTGCTTTAGTAGTGGGACAAAATAGTGTGGTGCTTCATATTTAGTTCTCGTTGCTGGAATGATGAGTTCTATGGCTCCATCTGTTTAAACAAAAAAAATGTATATTTCGGTCAAAGCTTATTTTAAAAGTACTCGGGCTACTGATAATCAAGAAATTCTATATTCTTCAGTGATAAGAAAGGAAATTAGAATATGAAATAGCAAAGTAATCAATAGAAAGCAAAAGAAAGTAATCTTATTCCAATAATAATCAGCACGTGTCTTTACAAATGAAATCCCCTTCCCTGATATAGGAATCTATAAGTACAACGTTTCTTCCCTTTTATGACTGAATCATTATGAATATTAATGATATTAATGAGACGTTATAATTGGCAATCGTCACTGTTCATGAAGATTCTGTAACATCTATGATCATTCATGCACATTAATTGACGATTCATGAATCTTCCTTCTTTACTGTCTTGATTCATTATACCGGTGTCTCTTCATATAGCATTTCAGACTCAAGCGACCATACCCCATTTATCTTGTGGGTGATTTGCTCGTACCTATTACGACTCAGGCCTCTTTTAATACATCTCTCCAATTGTCGCTTTCTTAGTGATCCACGTGTCTTGCCACATCAGCCACATATATAAATCCACGTGTAATATTTATTTTTACTAATACTTAAAGCATGTGACCACACTCAGTGGATTGTGATATTGAACCTATGAACACATCGGGCGAATTATGATATTGAGCATGTGACCATGCCAGGCGGATTGTGATATTGAGCATGTGACTACACCGGAAAGATTGTCATATTGAGATTGGGACCATGCTGGGGGAATTGTGATATTGAGTTTGTGACCATGCTGGGCAGATTGTAATATTGAGCTTATGACCACGCCAGACAGATTATGATTTTGAGCTTGTGACCACGCCAGATGAATTGTGTTATTGGGCCTAAGACCATGCCAGACAGATTGTGATATTGAGCCTGTGACCATGCCGGGAGGATTGTGATATTGTCACTTAAGTTATCCGTACAACACATGAGTTGTCCGTGTGATTAATATTATTAGCACGTGAGTTATTTGTGTAGCATGTGAAATGCCCATGCGAATATGAGATATTTTTATTATTGGCACATGAGTTATCCGTGCATCACGTGAGTTGCCCGTATGGTCGATATTATTAGCACGTGAGTTATCCGTGCGCCCGATATTATTAGCACGTGAGTTGTTCAGACAGTGTGTACACTTTATTTGTTGAATCATGCTTCTACCTGAGATTCTGAGGCTTTAGTTTCTATTTTTGCGGTCATACTTCTTATTTTGCAGACCACGCTTTTACTTTTACAATCGCACTTCTTCTTTTTTGGAGCGCAGTTTTCTCCGCCCTTCTCCTATTCAACTGAATTGCCTAAGATTCTCTTCTTTTGAGTCATTCTTCTTTCAAGACCTTAAATACTTCCTATTAAAGATGCAAAAGGTACTAATAAGTGGTTCAATTCTTCACTTATCAACTCCTCAAACTTAAGTCTTTGCTTGTTCTTAAGATAGTAATTTAGCACCCTACTTTCCAACATTATTTAATACAATCAAGGAGTCAAAAACAAGTCATTTGTAACTCTTTCAGGACCAACTATTACCAATAATACTTATGCATCCTAGAGAAAGTTTCCAATTTCAAAAAGATACATTTTGTTCATCTCATGCAATTCTAGTATGACATTTGAGCCTCAACGATTAGTTTCATTCATTATGAATCCTTGTTCATTTATGTTCATCACAATGGACCCCAAACTCTTCCTCTTCTACCTTTCTTTTGCATTGCTCATTTCAAGAGTATCACTCAATTTCTAAAGCAGTAAAGGTTTCACTCTTCTCTCACAAAAGAATGGTCTCAAGTTACTCTTCAAGTATTGTAGGCTTGCTCCTCATGAACAACTCTAAAATGTAAGCATGCTTGGTTTAAAATTAAATAGGACTTCTTTCGAGGGTGTAATGAAGGATTTTTGTTCGGGATAGGTAGAATTATCGGTAAAGGCGGCTAGATATTTCCTAAGAACTTCACTCAATACTTCTTAGCCCAAGTTTTCTCATAAGACGTAACATATAGAACTCTTGAAGTTTGTTCTTCCTTTTAGAAGCTAGAGAGACTTATCATCACTATATGTTATCAATTTCATTCACTTTCTTTTTTGATTTTCCATTGATATTTTCTCGAGGCTAGAGAGATTTGGAATCACTCTATGTCATCAATTTTCTTCCAACTTTTTCTTCCTTTTCCCCTTTTAGCCCCTTTTTATCTTCATTGCGTATAATTCTTGTTTTTTCAATCTTAAAGTTTTTTTTTCACATCTTTAATTTCTTTGGTGCTTTAGTATCTCTATATCTTCCTCATTATATTCTTTTATCTTCCCCTAAACTCTAATGACCTGACCGATTGTTCTTCTTTCTAGAACCCCATTCCCCTATTTAATACTTTTCGTATGTGATTTTCCTATTTTATAACTTGCGGGACAGTTGGTTTGGTTTTAGAAGGGTTGAGGTTGAACTCAGAATACTCAGTTCCATAGTAGTGGCCTAAGGTGGCGAAGTTTGACCTAAGTCAACACGTTGAGTAAATGACCCCAAAATAGGGATTTGATGGTTCCATTAGGTGCGTGTGGTGATTTTGGACTTCGTATGTTTGGATCTAGTTTTGGGTGATTTGGGAGTGATTTGACGCTTATTATTTGAAATTGGCATTTTGAAGGTTTTATAGTTTGCTAAGTATGACTTGAAGTGGACTTTGGTGATATAGGATCTCGTTTGGTATTCCGAGCCTAGGGATAAGTTCGTATTGTCATATCAAACTTAAGTGTGAAATTTGGCTTAATTTTGAGTTGTCTAGGTATGATTTGTTGCTTTTGGAGTTAGTCAAGAAGTTAGAAGTTTGGAAGGTTGAGTATTTGGTTTGGGGTATGATTCTTTGTTGTGATGTTATTTTTAGTGTTCCGAGGACTCGATAGGTCCGAGTTATACTTTTGGACTTGTTGGTATAATTGGACAGGGTACTGGGTGATCCGGGTGAATTTTGGACATCCCGAAACATGTTCAAAGTTAGAAGATTTTTGCTGGTTCTGGTGTGCTTCTTGATGACGAAAGAGTTTCCACGACCGTGAAGAAGGAGTTTTTGAGGGGCAGTTGTTGCTCTTCGCGAATGCGATGGAGTTTACACAAATGCGAAAAAGGAAGAGGAAGGGACTGGGCTGGCATGCTTTGGTATTCGCGAACGTGATAGTCGGTCCTGACATTGGTTGTAGTGATTTTATATATTTTATTATTTGCTAGTGCACTTGTGACACCAGTTTTTGGGATTTTTAGTCGATGTTCATGGATTTATTTGATATTTATTTCATTTTGCCTTATGTTTTATTCATATTTTGTGACTTAGTAAGAATGAAAGTATTTTATCATGACTCCTAAATCTATCACTGCGTTTTTTAATTCTTGATTTTTTAAAGTAATATGAGCGATCGTTTGTGTTGATGAGTTAACGTTGGCTTGCCTTACGGCAAGTGTTGGGCGCCATCACGACCTATGGTAGGAATTAGGCCGTGACACAAACTT